GTATTTGGCCAGTGTTGGGTTGCTTGTTTCCTTCATTGTTTGTGCAACTTTTCCGTTAGAACTTCTGTCAGTGGTGAGGTCAGATGGCAATGATGACATTCTTGGCATAGCTTCTTTTTTTCATATCCTTAGAAAAAATAATCCCATAGTAGCACTTAATTCAGTTTCAGTATTGCCTTATTTGTCCTACTGGCTTGATGACTTGTACTCCTTATCCAGCTACTGTGACTACAGCCAGGCAAATGTCACAGGGCAGTATTTGCTGTTACTTGAATAAAGTTACCCGTGACCTCTCATATTTGCTTTCTGTTGGAGATTTTATAAGCAAATTTTTATTCCTGGTAAGGGAAGAAGTGGTGGGAACATGGAATTGCGCAAATGCATGTATCAGCAAAACAGTAAGTGTGTCAATTAGTGCAGCTAGAGACACAAACAATTACTACAAGAGTTTAAGAGGATCACACAGCACAGACCTGAACAGGAACTGTTATGAGTAAGAGGTAGTTGTAAGGACTGATGTCTAATGAGCAGCCAGTACGCAGAGACGCAGCACAAAAAGCACACAGTGTACGTGTTGAATTAGTGGCAGTTGAACTGGAAATCTGCACATGTGCTGTGAACTGAAACTGTCTCTGATTTGTAAATGGTTGCACCTTTATTACGATGCGTTTCTTACAATGCCAGACCCTAAAACTAGAATGTAATTCATTAAATCATAGAAAAACAGTGCTTTGGAGCAGGCTGTGCAGCAGCTTTGAAGGCATGTTTTCAAATGACAGAAGACTGGAAACATCTGTTCTTACATCATACTCACAGAATTTCCTACTTGAAAACAGTGACATACCAACTTCTAAAAGTTTGTCTTGTCCTTTTCCAATACACTGTAGGAAAAACTTGGCTGGTGGATGCACCAGGGAGCCCCATGGAATATTTACAAACAGATCCTTTTATTGCAGTGAGGAAAAATTCACGTTGCATGTAATAGAAGTGGGAGAAGGCTCAGCTCTTCTGTGTTATGTGTGTTGCAGTGCTGTTGCTGCCTTGGCAGAGAGAATCCATCGCGCCTTTTGTACCAAGCTATACTACATTTAGGAGAGCGATGCTGATCTGTCATGCCTTGTCCTAAAAAATCCTGAAAGCCAGTATTAAATCCTGAAGTTATTGTTAAAGCCAGCGCTATGCTGGCTTCAGTCCTGCTACTTGCAGAACATCTAGTATGTTAAGAAGTTTGGCTTTGGAACATGTATGTGTGGTACTAGGTGCTACAGTTGTTAAGGTGTAGAGTTGTTTCATGTTTTCTAAAACTGCTTCATGTTTTCTAAAACTACCTGTTTTCTAGAAATGTTCACGTTCCCAACTGTCAGGATTTTCAACAGTCTGTTCCTTGTCTTCTGCTTTCATTTAAAAGGAGAATCTTTCCAAGTGATCAGTCATTTCTCATTCCACTGACACAAGAACTTCTAAAAGCTCTCTCTTCCCTCCAACTTATTTCATGTCATACCACTGAATATCCAACACTGTGTTCCCAAGCAATGTTTTCATCAATGTCTGTGTCCTATTTAGGTGCATCACTTTTCTTTGAAAATTATGACACGAGCAAAAATTGCAGAAAAGAACAGGCTGACAGTAGATTTTTCTCATACGCTAGAAGTCAGGTGGATAGGAAAGAGTACAAGTGCATGGGAGGATGGAACTGCACTGATGCTGGAAACAAAAGTAGTGTCTGATTATTAAGACAGGTGGAATAAACAAACAAACAAAGCGAACACCCAACAAACAGCATTTGGGGTTCAAATACTCCCTCTCAGTTACGAACTGTCAGAGTTGCCTGTTGGCACTGAACTTCTTGATGCAAGGGACAGGACCTGTCTGATCAGAACTGCTCTTTATTATTTTCAGACTGTCTCATATATATAATTTTCAGGCCCTTTAGCTCATACTGTCCACCTTCTTACCTAGAGAATCAGTCTGTCTGACCTTCGGGAAGCTTCCGTGCTGTACATATTTTTGATTTCTTCCAGACACAACTTATTATACTTTCATTGGTTCCCTTTTATCTTTATGGATAACACAGCTCCTGCATGAAGTGTTTTGTCATCAGTACATTTGTCCTTTTTTTTTTTTTATTTGCTTTCACAGTGAATCTTTCAGTAAGAAAAGATGATAGCAACATCATCTTTTGAAATAATTCTGCAAAGGCTGAGGCCCTTGGGCATCAAATAGCTGATTTGAGAAAGATATGTGTATGTTGTAGATGTCACAAAAATGACTTAACAAGGGTGGGTTGGTTAATGAATGATCTTGCACCAAAACATGGCCTTGCTGAAAAAACAAGCCGTGACTTTGACTGTTCTGTTGTTTGTTTGCCCACCCAGTTTTGTTATTCTCCTCTTAAATGCTTGCATTTCCTTATCACCATATATATGTGATTGGGTTTGAGAGATGTTCCAAGTGTTTCTTTATGGAAGGTTTACCTCTTCCTGCAGTGTATTAAGAGGCCAGGACTAAATTATTAATGGGTGCAGAAGTTAACACAGGTTGCTAAAAGGCTAAACTGTGTACGGGCAGCTTGGTGTGACTTCTGTTTGGCTTGTTTAGGCATGAGCTATTGAAGTTTTTTTCTATCTACGACTGTATTTCTCTGTGATAGACCTCAATTGCACCAACACTTAACTAGGTGTTTTTATGAATAAAGGTGTCAAATGAGAGATGTCATAGAATGACTTTTTTTTTGGAGGGAGAGCCCTTGTAATGGGAGCAAGCACAGACTACAAACACTCTTCCAGTTCTTGCCAGCAGATGTCACAACAATGACAGTAAGGAGGAGAAGTTGTGTTTTTGTTTTCCCAGACAAGATTTAAAGATGATAAACTTAAATAATAATTAATAATAAACCAACAAAATCTTCACTATAAATTTGCAGAAACAACTGAGAGAACTTGTATAGCTCAACTTTTGCTAGCAGATGAATCTTTTCTGAAACAAAAATCATGGTACATACAAGCCTTTGCAAAGCAAGTGTCCTATATTTATTGCTTCTTTATCTAAAAGTCTGGTTAATTTTTTTTCCTTCTGGTCTCTTTTACATGTAGCAAATGTTACTGGTAACAAAGGTAACAGTAGGTTATTGTGAAATAATTAATTTCTTAGAGAATCTTGGCAAATGAAAATGCGTTTGCATTTTGTGTTAAGAATGACTGATAAACATTAACCTTTTTAGTAGGCAGAATAAAGTTCTGTGTAACTTCTATTACTGAAGAAGTTTGTATGCACAACTATGCATGAATTTAAATATATTAGAAATGCTTTTTCATTTCCACATTGGACTGAGTATGCTCTTAATGGCCTTTCACATACCTTAATCACTATGGCAGTGGCAAGTTCCTGAATATTATTCTTATAAGTTAATTAAAGCCAGGGGGAAGGGGGTGGGGTGGGGGGGTGGAGTGTGGGGGGACCAGCTGGAAGAGATCTCAATCCTCACCTAATTCACTACAGTGGACTAAGAGTTGGATTCAAAGCATACAGTGGTATTTTGAGTTAGGAGGGGTGGCAGACAGAGGGGTGGCAGTCCAGAAACAAGCAGAGGGAAGCAGATGATGGCGTAAGTAATGCTGTGGAACACTGTAAGGAAGTACTAGGTACAATAAAAGAATGAAGACCTTGGTTTCTGCCAGCACTTCCTTTGGGTTTGGGTCCTAAATGAACAGAAACTTCTGATTACTCTTCTAAAGGAACTGACTTTAACAAGACTTTCTTTTTCTCTGACTACCCGAAAGGACAAACCAGTGTGTTGCCAGGTAGAAGTGATGTTTTTGTGGTGCCTGGAATGGAGTCAGCTGGCTGCAGGACAACAATCAGGGGTGGCAGTGTGAGTGCCCAGGGTTAGCTGTGCTCAGCTTTAAATGCCCTGGCGTGACTGCGTATCCTTCATCTCGCCTGTCCTGTTCCTGTCAACCTTAGTCAATCAGTCTTCAGCCTGTTTGCATCTGAAAGACTTGAATTGACAGCAAAGTATACGCAGTCAATCCATGGATTATTACTAGTGTTGGTATATGCTAATTATATACTGGGTAATCATACTAGAAAGCATGTGGAAGAGCTTTCAAACTGCTTGTGCTATTTTTAGTAAAACTCAGATATAATTACTTTGCATTCAGTTACTGGCACTGTAGCTACCCGTTTCTGCTGTATTTACAGACAAAACCCACAGGTGAAGGTAATCGGTCGGGACATGCCCTCTGGGGAGGAGGCTCATCCTGAGCTGGCCCCTGTTCTTCCCACCCGTGCTGTGTGGGCAGGAGATCACTGGGGGCTCTTTGCTCCCCTGCTCTCTTGGGCAGGTGCATTGGTAACCAAGGCCAGAGCTTTTTCTTCAGCACTGAATTTGGAACACTTGCACACCTTAATACACCCAAGGATTCCACAGATAAGTAAAAGACAGTGTAACAAAACTGCTAGGTCGATAAAAATCATCTCAGTAGAGCTGCTATCACTGAGATGAGAGACAGATTTTAAGGCCTGAATCTACCGTAGCATTCCCAAAGGCATTTCCCTCAGTACTGCTTGATCAGCCAAGATTTGGCAAATAATTTAGACCTTGTAGGAATTTTACATCTATTTCTGAAACAGTTTAACTGCATTTTGCCTATGATGATATCCCTCCAGGAATGGAAATTTCTGTTTATGATGTGCTTCTTGAATAATGCTTTCTCAAAATAATCTTGTGATTGTCTAATTGAAGTGATACTTGCAAGTAGGAAATCACTAATTATTGTGCGAACTGATGCGCTCTCAGCACTGCTGATCATTCATTAAATGTGTTGCTGGACTCTTACCACAGTGCTTCAAAATTGCTACTCTTCCAGGGGGAATATTAAATGTCCCTCATTTCATGTGTCACAAACAGAGCATAGCTGCTTACCGCTGCATCGCAAATAGGGAGTTTCTTCCTGCTCTGCATTTGGGTCTGCATTTTAAATAAATGACAATGCATCTGCATTCTTTTTATTTATTCGAACACTATGATTTAAGAGCCTAAATGCAAGTTTTTTCCCTTTATTTCTGCAAGTAGCACTGCAATCATAACTTACAAAAATGTTTAAAATACAAAATGTACATGAAATTACAATACAAGGCTCTGTAAACATCTAGAACTTAATCTTTATTGTCCCACATTTTTAAATATAAAACTTCAATTTGAACAATTTCCGAACCTCAAGGAATGACATCCATTATGAGTATCAAAAATAGAGTTTCAAAGCTTTGTTTGTATCAGAACAAAACTTCATGTTATTTTCATTCTTTGGTTTAAAAAGGACGGCAGTTCCCCTGATAACATGAAAGTTTTACTACAGAAATTCAGATTGCTAGTTTATGGTAATTTCAGAAATTACCCCCCCTCCCCCACCAGATGAATATACTACTTCTTAAATTTGTTTTTAGCATTGATCTTTGACCCTCCTTATAGAAAAGCTACCTCATCATTAAGGCTTTCCTTCAGGATAATCTACATTATTAAAAAGTTTTGGAAAAGTACTTGGGGAGAAGAGAGGACTTAAGGGCAAGGAAGTGGATGCCAACAAAATATCAACAGTTGCCGGGTTCTTTTGTTTAATTAAATTTGCATAGTCCAATAGAGATTGTGTGCTTTTTATATCACTAAAATTATACAAGATTAACAGTCTTTACCTACATTATCACACAAGCTAAAATAAAATTAAGACCCTTGTACTGAAGCTTTTACAAGGCAAATACAAAACTGCTTTAGTATCCAAAGGTGTATTTTTTTTACTTAATTTTTAAATAGGAAAGCATCTCTATGTCTACAGGCATCAAGGTATTTAAAGGCATCAGAAAATTTAGTGCATAGCAACTCCGGATTGTTTGGGCTCCTATATTTTAGGTACAGTGTGAATTCCAGCTACTTGGAGAACTTGCAAGGAGAGTCTGTACCAGTAGGATAAAGGAGCATAAATCCCATACAGTATGAAAAGCTTTTAAGTTAGAATTCTCCTACAAACAATGGTTAATGCAAAAGACCCAATACATGAATGAAACTGGAACGTGCCTTGCCACCAGCACACAGTCTGAAGACAATTACATAGTTTACAGTGTTGTGTGGTTTTGGGGGTGGTTTTTGTTTTGTTTTCTTTCTGTGGTGTGGTTTTGTTTTCCTTTTTTTTTTTTTTTTTTTTTTTTTAAGGTATTAAAAACATCAGATGTGTTTCTGAGCATGTTAATCCTTTTCCAGGATCTTTAATGTAAATGAGTAGAGGACAGAGTAAAGCACCATCGCTGAGGGACAATTACAATATCACACTCTTGAGATTACAGCCCTGCTAATTTGTTTCTTGCAAATTTAAAGATTTTCATCATTGAACAATACATTCACAAAAGGATGCTTAAGATTCCCAGCACGCACATAGTGGCCTTGCATTAAGTTGTGTGAAATAACCATGAAACTGCAGCCTTAAGCTGCATTCTTAAAAGGAAGTATATGATAAAGACTTATATTTTCACCCGCTTAATGTATGGTCTATTTAAAAGTTCATAATTCAGCTATTAGAAAGATGCAGTTATAGCTACTTTAATGGTATTGCTTGAGCACTGACTTAAATTTAGGTGTAATGTTTTGCCTGCAAAAGGCTCCATAGAAAGTTTTCCCCATGACTGTCTGCCAAAATGAGCATCAGTAGAATCTGTGTTTACTCTTACAGGTATTATAATTCAGTAATGGTATCCACTTTAAGACCATTTTACTGTAAATTTAAGTCTTTAGTAGTTTTCTGTAGAAAGAGGCATGTGCTCCACAGGTGTTAAACCACTAGCATGTTCACAATTGTCTGAACTAGTTTCAATGCAAATACGTTTTCTACGTTGCAAAATCTTTTGAGTGTATTCAGTCTTAAATTTCATTAGAGCATCATGGCTCCCCCAAATGAGGAACTAAAACTAATGTCTTAAATATTGTGAGGTTCAGTGTATTTCTGATCTTATGTTGCTGCGACTGTTGTACCCTGTATGTTCCATATCAGCAAGCTCTGTAAACGACAGTGTCTTCTGGGGGAGGGAAATGGTTATGGCCTCAGCAGGCAGTTTCAGATCCTCTCCTAGGTTTCTAATCATAGAGGCCTGAGATTTTTAATAGCCATGTAAACAGATTGTTTCAAATGTACCAGATTACGTGGGTAAGGGAAATGCATCCTTTGAGCACATCTCGTGTATTTCTTTGGTAGCTTCTACTTCACACGCTTACAATTAAACATGGGCAAATGATACCACCTAATCACTAATTCACAGTAAATAACTTCTTAGCAAACTGACATTTATAAACAGATTAAGTGGTTAAGGAACTGTAATTGTCATCTCCTTAGCACTTCCAAGTGGCAGGTCAGGCATACGGCATATAAAAGATACAGATGTGATCAAATGATTTATTGCATGGAAAACTTGAATGCCACTGAATTGGTGATTTCAAAACCATATTCTGCAGGGGTAACAGGAACACTTAGATCCTCAGCAAATATGAAAACTTCGCCTGGCTTTGATGTTGCTGTTCTTTAATCTAAAATCCTACTGCTCAAATTTGATTACAAATGTAACGTTCTAAGAAAAAGCTATTTCAAGAAGGAGCCTGTGCTAATAAAGAACAGGAAGATTATCCACAAAGTTATAAAAGTTTAAATTTTGGAATGTCATTTCTATCCCAACACTTTCATGATGGAATGGTCTTTTTGCAGCCTATCAAGTAACATTTTCAGTTTATAAACAAGTGCAGATCTACATTTGGCTTTGCTTCCTATGAATCTAAGAAAGAAAACACTACAGTATTTGTATACACAATGGCTTCCATGGCATTGGCTTCAGATGACAGGTATGATTTGCCACTGGAAGATCGTATTAAAAAAAAAAATAAACAATAGAAGCTTTAAAGGCTTTCCAAAATGACCAAAAGGTGTTGCAAATCATCAGTTACAAACTATACTATCTCTAAGGGAAAGCAGCACACTGAAGATGTGTATTAAAATCTTCTTCCACATTCAGTACTGTGAATATTATAAGAGCAAACTAACATCTCCACACATCTGAAGCACTTACAGTATAAAAGTATTCTATTTAAATGCAAAAAGCAAAGCTTGTTTGTAACTTTAAAACAGTTAAAATATCTGGTGTAGATTCTGTGTGTCCATTTTAAGAAGTCTCTTTACAGCATCTGAGGAACTATAATTAAAATGCTCTGTCTCTACATCAAAAATGTAACCCGCTAAAAGGGCTTTGCAAGGATCCACTGTTCCAGTTCATAAAGGCCACAGAGTTGGAAGCACAGTAAGTCTAAAGAGGAAGAGGACGAAGAAATATTCAGAGAAACTGTTAAGTTTTCATGGACGTTTAGTTGTAAGCTTATCCGTTACTGGATTCCATCAGATATTCTTGTCTCCAGAGATCCAGGACATGTACGTGCAGACTGGCTGGCCACTGTTGTTCCATGTGACACTGAGATCTGTGACATATCTCTTCCTATGATCTCATTCACTACAGTAAAAAAAAAAAAATTAAGAAGTGATTGTTTTTATGATTTTCAAAAGGCAAAATTCATCAGTGTATCCCTTTTTAAAATAAATTTTTCACTCCTACGTCTTGATGCAGTTAAGCAACAGAGGATGAACTTCACTAACAGTCGAGCAAGGGAAAAAATAAAGTCCTAGTTTCTTGTAGTATTACACAGCATTATACTTTGTACTTACCATAATCCATGTTGGAGAATCCCTAAAACACTAGAAAAAAATAAGCACGTACATATTCATATACATACAGATACAAATGAAGGGCAAAGCATAGGTCAGTCCAGTACAGATCTCCCCACAGAACTCGTTCTGTTCAAGAGTGTTACAGGCCCAACAAATAACTAATAACTCTTGGCTCTTTCAAGCTACTTACAGAACTTCCTCAGAACTTGGATTTGCATTAATAGAATATTCTTTTTAATCCTATATGTTTATTTAATCGGCCAGTTTTCTGAATACTTGCATTTCTGAAACTGCAATAACAGAATCTTCCTTAGTTACCAGTCAGCTTTTCTACAGTGAAGAATTAAGATTGACTGATATGCATGTCACATCAGTTTGTGTGCCTGTGTGTGTGTGTCAAACTCAAAGATTAGTCAACTATTACTATTTACAAGTGAGGGACGCCACTGAGTATGACAAAGTAGCACTTAACTTGCCAACCAATGACAATTTTGCAGTGTTACTGTAAAGCCTAGATAACTGACTGCAGCGGAGTTGAGTTTAGCAGAGGCAGTCAGTCATGTTGTTTTCCATGACCGAGTGTCAGTACATACACAGAATCTCTTCTTCAGCAAGACTTTGAATATGCTGAATTGTAGTAATAAGAGAAAAGCCTCTGACATGAGTTTGTTTGGACCTTCTATAAACAAGCATTTAATGGGATCCTTTTGTTGAGTAAGGACCATTTCTAGTAAAAATAATAACTTTGGTTTTGCTAGTAAGCTGCTTCTATTGAAGTCATAACAGATTTGGAACACAGGCTTTTGCTCTTTTGCTCTCCCTTGGGTAACTTCACAAAACAATATTGATATACTTCGCCACCCTTCTTAATGCTTCCTTAATTTTCCATAGCAGGATTTAGCTTTCTACTAACCATTCCTGTCTGGCAGAAGCATAACAAACTCAGTCTACAGGTAGTGTAAAGCGTTCTTTATAAAGCGTTCAACAGTCTGAGCACTGCCTTTTGCTGCAGCAGCAGCATGAATGGGTCCAAGAGAAAATGCAGTAATGTTATGAATGCTCTGAAGTATGTATAATGTGTATAAAATCCAACTCTGAGAACAAGTTTTGTCTATACTTGTTTAGTTTACTTAGGAAAGCTTTAAAATCCCCTTATTGCATATACCCGTATGTAACCATGGAGGAGGTATTTGTTATCTAAAAGTCAATCAATGGCAATGGTATTCTCTTGCATGAATGCAAGGACAGCTTGTTAAAATTACACATTATTGTAGCCCAAAGGTTAAAACTGTTCAGTTGAGCTACGTAATAACCAATTCCCTGGAGCATTACAAGACTTGAAATTTATTGAGCTTCAAATAAATCTCTCATTCAATTAACTTAACAGGCACTACGACACTGAAAACTGTGTGACTACCGGTAGGATACTTTTTAAAGTATTTTTATTATGCCCACACAATGCATAAATCAAGATTTTCATTTTTTTTAAATCGAAAGTTAGATGTTTACTTAGGAGAACTATGCTCCCTCAGTTTCTGTCAGGGCACTCGCCAGCTTGCTCTAACTATAGGCCCTCCAACAGCTATTATCCACTGTATGCTACAGAACAGTTGCTTTGCGCAAATCAAATATTGCAGCTGTTCAGTACTACTAAAACTTTGATGAGCAGTAGCACAGAAAGCAACACGGCCAAATACCTTTTGTATTCTGAAATTATTAGGTGGTTACTTCTTTTAAGTTTTGATAGATGATGTGTACCTGTACTGGCAACATCAGAACAAACTGGTCTAGGTTGTTGCAACATTTTGTAGTTCCCACAGGCAAAGGTGTTTCACTGAGCGGCATGTACCCACGTGGCATTGAATTTTCCTTAAATCACATTACACGGTGAATACAATAGCTGGTCAGGTGGTGTTTTATTTGCCAGAGTTCTGCATAATTCATTATGTAGAGTATTAAATTTAAGTTAAAGGTTATTTTGTGTTGGTTTAGTTTTTTAAAGTAATCATAGATTTGTTTACAAGAAGCTGTTTTATAGCTCTGTCGTACCTTTCATTTTGCCGCTGGAGAACTTGTTTTTGGCAACATTTTTAGCATGTGGGCCAATACAGATTTATCTGGTTTATATAGATTTACATCAGAAACATCTACCGTTTCTAAGGGAAATGCAGTACGCCTTGTCTTCTTTCCGACAGAAAATTCTAGCAGAGTAGTTTTACTTGCTACAGGGATTTTGTTAGGATCGCTAAATTTTAAACCCAACCAGTATTCAAGTGGGCACTTTTAAAAATAAAAAGTAGTATCTAAATTTATGTTGTGTCAGAGCACTGTGCAGGCCTAAATAAAAGGCCAGAATCCTTTTTCTGCTGTCTGGCAAAGATGTCTTCACACTTTTTCACAGACTACAGCCTCCTGACTAACACATCTTCCTATTTTATACTTTCCACGTGTGCCCATTTCAGCTGCGTGGAAGTCTGTAAGCAACAAATGCATGGGGGAAGCTTGCAGACTCCGGAAGACTATACATGGATTTAGATTATGTACAGATGATGGTGAAAATGCTTCAAAGCAAGCAGAGCCTGCGGAAGCCAGCAGCTGAGATCAAAGTGCTCTAACCTTCTGTGCCATGGTAGTCTGGCTGCCAGGTTTGAGAGGCCGGGGCAGGGCAGCGTTGGGGGCCGGGCAGGCAGTGCCAGAGGTGCCTGTGAGGGATGGAAGGGATCCCCCTGGGGACAGCAGGGAGTGCTGCCCCAGCTGCAGGCTAGCAGGTGGAGGAATGGGCATTTAAACCAAGAGAGCAGCCTTTCCAGAGAAGGCTGGTCTGTTAAAGCCTGAAAAAAACCTTGTAAAGAAGCCGTACTGAATATTTACCAAAAGTAGGCAGCCTGGAAGTCCTTTGGAACAGCTCACTGAAGGGATGTACAACTCAGTTTTAAGGCAGCAAATAATGAGATGCCTGCATATGCCTAAATTGGGAAGCATTTGGCTTTATATGAAGGACATCCTGTGTTTACCAGCATTATTGTCATTAACATGGCTTTCTGACAGGGCAGTGGTATAAATTAAAGAAGCTTAAAATCTAAATCATGTATTCAGAAGAAGAGTTAAAATCCTGCATAGATGTGTACAAGACGGAAGGTGAAGTAATGCAGTGTTTTCCTTTCTGTATTAATTTGTGATGGAGAAGACCGTTTTAGTTGAAAGACTGAAGTAGCAATCCAAAGGTTAGTATGTGAGTGCATGACACGTTACCTTCTTCCACACAGGGTCAATCACAGGACATTTTAGTGGTCTGCGATTAAAACTGAAAATGTAATTCATGATCATAAACACAGGTTTTCTACAACGTTGTCTAGCAAAATCCAAGTTCTTAGGTGACAAACTGGGAGAGGAAGGCAATTTCAGCAGTCCTGAGAAAGGGCAGAGCTCCGGCTATACTGATGATGCTTTACAAACAAAAGAAAACATACTTTATGTACTTCCAGACGACCACTTTATCCCGCCTTTCCTAATTTTGACTGGATTACCTGGGCTATGCTGTCCTAGGAACAGTCAGGAAGACTTTAAATGTCCTTTTGCTTAACCCTAAAAGGCACTCAGTTACCAAATAGATACTGGGAAGCCACGATGCATGGCTTCGGTAATACATGTACTTCTTAAATTTCCTTTCTTTTCTCAGCACAAGTTCCTAGGGGAAGGCTGCAGAGCTATTTCAGGATTCAGTAAGAGCGATCTCACATATGTCGTTAAGGCTCTGTGGTCTGTCTGCCAGGTTCAGTTGTGTTGTATAGCTGATGCTTCTGTTGCCTTTTTGAAAAGAGCCAATCTCATGAGACTTAAGATGGAGGTGAACAGTTATGAGAAGGACCTTGACTCTTTCCGTCTACTACCTTTGTCCTGCCTCCTTCCCCAGCTGGATCAGTGCTGTTTTGGTGCCAGGTGTTCTGACTGCTAATCCCAGGCCCTGGGCCTCTACTGTCAAGAGCTAAGGAACCAGAAATATTTTACATACTAAATAACTACAGAGGTCTAGCTAATATTTAGGACTCACTTAGTACCTACTGATCACTTAAAATTGTTTTGGATGCTCAATGTCAATTGAGTGGTAACATCGAAAGTGTTATTGAATATTTTATGTGCTAACAATCCAGGTTGCTGATCTTGAAATAATGACTGGCTCAGATTAGGCACATGCTACACTGTATAGCAATGTGGCAGATTCTTCCACTACAGAAAACGATGCAATACAGCTTTTTTTTTTTCTTCTTTTTTCTTTTTAAATTGGGCTCTAAAATGGAAATTATTTCAACAACTTTCCTATTTCTATTTAATTGACATCTTTGGCAGTTATCCCAGATTTCAGAATCTCAGCTGATACTTTATTTGCAGTAGTTTCACCTTTTTCTTTCCTAATATTTATACATAGTATAAACTGGCTGGTAAATTTATGCTAATAGTTAAAAATAGATTGTGCAGAACAGAATTTAACATGGTGGGGAGAAAACCTCCTGCTACAGACAGATCAGATTGGACCTGTCAATACTGGTGATACTGCAGTGTTGTATTCCAAAGTTGGTTTCTGTGGTTTTGTTCTTCTCTTTCTGTGCTGCATCAAAACCCCATGAACATACTGCATTGAAAAAGCACTGGAAGTCAGCTGGAGGCTCAAGCCCCTATAACCTTTCAAAAAAATTAAGCAGCATACTGACATCAGTACCAGTGGAACAGAGAAGATGATGACTAGCTCTGACTTTTGGATCTGCTGTTAAGCTTGTAAAATGGAAGCAACCACATACTCTGTTTTACGGGGTTGTTCCCACTGTTTTGATTTCACATAGTGTTCTGTTTGCTTTTTCAAGTCCCTACTGACTGCACACATGAAAGACAGCTGAGCCTGTGAGATTGACAGGAAACTGGGCCACAGCTCCTTGGAGGCCTCTTCTCCCCCGCCTCCCCTTTATCTTTCAGGCCGAGGCTTTGGCTCTTGGTCACTGAAGACTTGCACTGAGACAGCTGATAAAGTTACCGCTCCAGCTGTTTGCTGCATGAACAGCCAGACTGTTCATGAAGATCTCTTAAAACTGTTGCAATTTGCAATCCACAGTTTCAAGATAAACTAAAATTAGGTTGAACAGCTCAGCCATTTGTGCAGCGAGTGACACACGTGGCGAGGGGCAGTAACCCTAGCAGCAGCTGTTCCAGGGGCGCTGGGGCCGGGGAGCAGGGCTGACCAGCCTCGTGGGAGAGGTGCTCGCCTACAAAAGATGACCCGTGTGAGCTGATTTGAACAGATCAAAGCTCTTGTGTTATGAAGCGTGACAACATCGTGAAAGCTGATGCTTTCAATAAGTTGCTGAGTGTTTTGGATAAAGTAAAAAAATGTGCTGATGTATAGTAACAAGTTCTTAAAAGAGGAACTGGTGCTTTGATACATTGGTAAGATACATGCTTCTCTCCCACTGGTTTGTTTAATCAATTCTACAATGCCACCTTAAGTTAATCTCTCAGGGAGAGACCAATCCATAATCGGCAGTCAACTTGTGTACCTGTACCACCTTACTGAATATTTTATATTAGAATAAAACCACATGCAGATGTAGCACAATCTCTAACATAAGTGTTTGAAATTCTAACAGCAGAAGTAAAGGCACTATCTTTTAAAATCAAGTATCAACCAAATAACATGCTTCTAAATTGCTCTGTACTTAATTCCCCCTATCTCTGTGAATGCTAAGAGACAAATATTTTTGTGCTAGAGCACAAGGGAAAATATAAGCAACTCCTGAACCTAGGGGCCTTTCTGGGAATAGTGCAAGTGATCTGTTTTCCCTTACAGGAAGCTGGTAATCTATAATCGGCATTTATACTTTCTACAGGACAAGAGAATCTCTCTAGTAGGCAGTTTCCAAGCATTTTAGATTTTGTAGGTCAAAAATACTGCCTGAAAACCTCTGGAGAACTACAAGCAAACCAGTTCAGATTAGAAGCCATTAGGTAGGTAATGAGCAATAGTAGAGGCTGAGGGAAAACACATGATGATGCTTCCCCAGGGTGTTCCACCAGCCTCCAAAATGTGTTTGGCACAGGGCATTGACAGTATCTTGTGGTGAATAGTCCCATTTAGATTTTTCTCCCCAGGGTCTTTATTGTCTGTGCAAAATTCAGTTATCTGCAACTTCCTGAGACAGTAAGTTCCAAAGGCTAACAACATATAGCTGTTGCAATGCTTTTTTATAGGTGTTGAACTTGCTGCACGATTACCTGGTGGCTACTTTTATTATTTTCTCTCCTCAGAAGTATTTTTCATTACCTTTTCCATGCCACCCATTTGTTTTATTGTACTTAGCCTCCTCATTCAGTTTTCTGGCTGCAGAGTCCCAGCTGATTCAATGTAACTTCTGTGCCAAATCTTTGGTCATTCTAGTTGTCCTTAACCACAACACCCCACACAACAGCATGTAGGCATCTGATTCTTTTGTAACATTGGGGACAAGATGTGGGCACGTAACAGAACTATACAGTAGCATTTTTTCATTCTCTGCTGGTTTCCTCAATACTCATAGCATTTATTCGCCCCTCTAAGACTACTTTTAACACTACTGAGCAATTTTTCATAGACTTGTCCATTTTAAATACAAGAGGGCTTTAAATGAGAATAGTTCAGAGAGCTTGGCGCTGTATGTATAGAATTAAGGCAGGTTTTTTTCTCCTTCCCTTACCTTAATTTCCACTCCTTTATAACTAAAGATTTTCTTTAATCACAAGGTATTCCTGTAGAGGTTTCTAGACAGTTTTTGTTTTTCACGCCTCATTAGCTGAGCAGCAGCCATGTCACATTTACCAACTTCCAGTACCCTGGCTCCAAATCAGATTTAAGCAAGCGGTTATATAGCTACCAACATTACACTTGATGGTTCAACTGTTGCTTACTCTTTCAGAGCTCGTCTGGTGTGTCATCTAGTTGAGGTGAGTTGTCACAGTCTGTTTATCCATTTGTTCTGAAACCTTTTTACTTGAGACAGGTCCTGCAACATCTCCCTTTTTCAGAGGGCTTTGGCATGAGAATCTCTAGCTCCTCACCTATGAGCATCAGTACAAAAATCTGTCAAAGTTCATTTATCTAATTTTAACTGAATTCTTCATTTGTCATCTGCCAGCCAGGTTTCACACTTGAACTCATAATTTTAATGTGTTGTTTTTTTTCTGTTTTCTGCATTTGTAAGCAGCTTGTAGTCTCTCACTCCAGTGTAGTTGTACACTTAATCTGAGTCTTCATAAATAGTTTGCAGACTACTTGCAACTGTTTTACCCTTGACCACCTATTTTTAAAGCAAGTTTTATTGTTTTCTTATGGTTCCCCTTTTAAAGTTTGTCACAGCATGTAGTATTGAAACTGCTACAAAATGAAGATGGATTTTTTTTTTTTTTATTGTAATTTTTTTGGAAGCAGTTCCTGTATGCTCCTTTGGACCAAAAAAAGAGATGTTTCCCCTTGTGGGTTCTTCTCATGACTTAGTGCTCCATGAAGCAGTCATCACACGTACCCATTCTATAAAGGATGACTCAAGTATTCCATCAGTGTATTTCCTGCCTTTGCAGATTGTCTGATCTCCTGCAGCACACTAGTTACAGTTGCTCTCCTGTTCAGCAGTGTAATTTATAAGCTATACTCTTCCTATCTTAAGCCTGTAACTTAAATCTGTAAGCATTCTGTGGTACTAGTACAGTTACAGCTTGTCTGACTTGACGCTAATCATTTTTCAAGGTACAGACCTAACTTCCCTGTGTAAACACATCTCTGGCATTAGTACCACACTGACTATCTTACACAAAATACCTAAAACATTCGTTACTTTAAATTTTTAAAAATGCCATGTTTCACAATAGTGTTTCTCAGATGCTAGCACTGGTGTGTAAACATTTTTCTCTCTGGGTCTGGATTTCTGTTCGTGTGACCCTTTTAAAAGGGATCTTTTGGCGTGTGTTTCATTATTGTCAGTTTGGGGTTTGCCAACCTGTGTGTTGCCCCTTAGTTGATGATATTTGGGGGGTTGTTTTATTATTAAATTGAGTTGTCATTGTTTTGAGAACTTTTGATCCTCAACAATTATTCTGTACCTACCAGATTCTGAGTTGCACAGGATACAGAACACAGAAATAATCTAAGCCATAGCTGGTATTTTACTAATTGATTTGCAGTTTCAATATATAAAAATTTCAATTTAGTGTAGGGAGTCCTTTCCCTGGTTTTGCCATTCTGTATAGTAGCTACTTACCTTACTAATAACATTTTGCTATGTAAGGAAAGCAGAACTAAGTATTTTGAAAGATTGTAAAAGGTCAAAACCATGATGTATTTCAGTTTCATGGGCAAAATTAAGGTCAGTCTTGCGTACGAATTTTGGGAGTTTTACTAAACCTATACACAGGGCTTGGTTACTTCACTGTTAATCTCAAATCTACTGTACACTTAGGTATTCCCCTTGAAAAATCTATGGGGAAAGTAAAATGTTACATGTGTGTGTATATATTGAGTAAAAAAAGACAGTATTTTGGCATTTTAGGCATGTTTGTAATCAAGTGAAAAAAACACTTAAAGAATGAGTATAAACACAAACACAACCAATATACCATGAGTCAATTTCTAATATTGTTACTATTTTAAAGAGTCATAGTGCATAATTTTCTTGTTTATATGTGACATAGAAGCTGAAAGCATCTTAAAATAAATCCAGACGATCTTTCCCAATTACAGTGTACATTCAACTAGAAATCTATTTGTTAATCAGTATTCCTAATACTTGGATTGATCAGTAGTGCTTGCCACTGTACTCCATCTATTTAAACTGACATTGCTTTAACTTTTTAAAAAAGCAAAACCATTCAGAATCTCTCAGAGGTAACTGATCTGGCCACTCAACAGCCTTGCTCATACTTGGCTTAGGATTTTCATATCCTCTTCTGTTGTTTTACTGGATCCTACAGCACTCAGGAAGTTCTGTGGCAGCTATATATACTTTAAGTGGAGTTTTTTACTGAATGAGTGTACACCTGGTTCACAACTTCTGAATTTCCAGTTATTTCAGAATACACAGGTGTCCAGTTATAGCAATACTGAAGTATTACATAGCGCTTTTCACTTGTAGATATTAAGACTATCAAAACACTTTCCCCTTTCCTTCATGCTCCAATTTCAAACATTGAAGCGTTTCCGTAAGCAGACTCACCCTCTAGATTTTCCACATAGGAGTTGGACATGAGTGCTGAATGTTGAGTCCATTTCTCTGTTGAACCTGATGGCTGGTATTCCAGGTCAGAGATAAAACTGTCTGTGTCAGAGAAGAAGACAGACATAACTACTGACTGGACTAAACCAAGAAGTTACAGTTCACTCAACCAGGAAGTGACTTTCAGTTTTCTTTTAATAGCACTAACTTTAAATATCCAGTTTCATTCACAACTACTACATATGTTGACATAAATAACTATTTATAAATTATCAGAGTGCCTATTAAAAACAATATCACTTATCTTGTATATTTAGTTACTTTTCAGTTAGCAGCCAGAGCCATAAAGGTAATTGTTTAATATTTTTGGATGTCTGCCTAGTTGTATCATCATGAATTTGATACTACGTAAATTTCACTTTAGTATTTGTGTTAGTTTAGAACGTTCCTCCAGTTTTCTCAATCTGCTTTACTTACTGTGGTCAAATTAAAAGTGCTTATGCCCCTTGATAGCACCTCCACTGAACGAGGTAGGCAAGAGAGTACTAGTAAGTAAAACCTTTATTTTTATTTTTCCTATCCTTTAAACAAAGGAAGCTGTTGCCATAAACAGTGGTTAGCTTCCCCCTTCCTTGTCAGACTATCTGTGCGTCTTGCCCAAGGTACTGAGCTGCAGTCAGGCCACACGCAGCTGGAAGTGTCAGAAAACTATTATCCTGATATAGGCGGCTCTATCAGGTGAAGGCAATGTGAGAAGAAACCAAGGAGGAAATGGAGAACTGTAGAATCGTGTATTTATTACTTGAACTAACAAGCGGGTGTTTATTCAGTTGTGATTAGTGACTACCCAGGGCTTACAAGGGGGTATACTGGGTGGGGTTTGTTTTCTTCTCCCTGCTGGAGGCAAAGCTACAGAGCTGCAAGTTTAGTAAATTAAGCTTTAATACAATTAACAAAATTACTCTGGAAACTGGCTAATTTGTGCTTTCTGGATAGAACCACACATTTGTTCTGCCAGCATGATTTCTAAGCCCTGCTTAGGGATGACTCCTGGGAGAATCAAAGAGTCTATTCTTACTTCCTCCTGAAATTCAAGCAGTTCAAATCACTACTTTGGCTGACTTCTTATGCTTAATTGTTTAAAGCATAAAGTTACATGTATTTAAACAGGAAATGGAAAGCATTTTCTGAGTTTCAATGAAAATGCCTACTGCCATTTTGAGGGAAAGGAGTAGATGAAAGATAAATTCTTGTCAAACAATAGGAAATTAAGAAAAGAACATTTTTCCCACCCACTATGATAGAACCAGCAAGAAAGTGACATTTAAATAAAGATCTAATGAATCCAGGGAGATGGGCAGAAAACTACCTTGGGATGAAACAAATGAACTTTTACCAGCAATCCTCTTTAAAGCTCCGGCTTTCAAAGGAGCAGACAACAAACACACTGACAAAAAGCCTCCAGAGAGAGCAGTGGAGTTAATTAGCAACAGTCTCTGCACCATAAAGTCTGCATAGCTTATAGAGTAAGGATTATCTGTCACTTTAGCAGAGAATTATGATTATGAGCAATTTTTCTAATTAATTTCATACATAGAGGGATTCTGACATTCTTGCGTGTCCTAACAAAGCTGCTGACAGTACTGAGTTTTTGCTTTTATAAATCCCTGCCAAAATGTGTCATGTGTGGCACATGTAACATGTCTCCAGCCAGCACCTTCTGGAATGAAGCATGCACTTGCCTCAGGCACTCAGTATTTGTTGTTTGTGAAATGTGGTAAATAAAACAACAGCCTTTTAAAGTGTGTAATGTAGCATAAAGATTTTGCTCAATGCACACTGAAGTTAGATAGAACTCAAGGTACCAGATAAATATACATTAAAAATACCTTTCTACATCAGAATTTCATAAACATGAGGTTTTTATTTCCTTAAGCAATACTAAAATGTGTTTTGTACCCAAAGAATATGACGCTATAACTATTACATTGAAATAGAAATCAAGAAAACGGACATCCTGTAGATCTTAACTGATCAAAAATTCATACTTTTATGAAGGACCTCTTTGTCTTGGCTCCTCCCTTAAGCAAATAAGTATTTTAAGAAACAACTTTAAAGCCTCAATTATGTATACCAGATTTGGATCAAAGCAGTAAGTCAACTTAAAAATTAGAGTGCTATTACAGATACAGGCAGACCAAAAAGCTGTTAAAGTTACACCACTTGGTTTTCAGGATCTCTTCCTACATGAGTCAAGCAAGTACATGTTTTGTAGCATTATGTGACAAAAAGTTTAGCATGTATATCCTTTCCTACTGCTGCACTGAAGTAGGATATATGGGCAACAGGCCTTAAACTTGAGTATGTATTGCTTTTAGAAAAACAGACAGTAAAAAAACATTCTAGAATGCATGATTGTTTGCAGTGGCGCTAGACTAAGTAGCACAGAGTGGGGTTTTTTTTAGCACGCTTTGCAAAAGAAGTTTGATACAATTGTATGGGAGATCACACCAACTGTTGAGGTTGGGTAGTATTAGCTGTACCCACCTAGGAATTCATGTGTTTCAGAGGACAGATGAGTGAATTGCTGTATTTACAGCTGTAATGAGCATCAGAAAGAACACTACAGATCATGCAGCGCATGCTTTCTCAGATGGAGGCTTTCTTTTGTCAACTCAAGAGAGAACTCCATCAGCTGCATTTATGTGAAGAATCCATGCAGCTATGTCACATTGGTTAGTGCAGTATATTTAGCCTGGTTTTGACTCCACATGACCAGCAAGCAATACAGTGTCAACTTTCTCTCTCAAAAAAAAAAAAAAAAAAGAAAAAGAAAAAAAAACCAAAAAAACACCACCAAAAAAGCTGCCAGGCTATAATTAACCCTCAGTCTTCCTTGCAATGGAGCAGCCAGCTGATTCCATTGGTCTGCAACCAGTCGGAAGGCAGGATGCGTTTGCAATGGCAAACTATCAAGGCCAGGGGTAGGTTGCCTTGCAAGTTGCCATTTTAAGCCATAAGACAGGCTTACATTTAGTAATTTCAGGTTCTAGGCCAACTTTACTGCAAAGTACCTTTCATTTTAATTAACTGATAAAATAAGGCTGGAGGAATGAAATGTTAGGAGGAAGGTAGTTTTCCTGTGCCCATGATATTTATAGTGATATAGACAGACTGAATGTGCCTATGGAGTCACAGCACAAGTTCTGCAGTTACTTGGTACAGTAACAAATATCTCTGTTCATGTCATTGTTATGATGTCACACTCTGCATTTATGTATCATAGCGAAACCAACTCATTTAAGTCATGTTTACCCCTTTCTCGCATGCAAGATAGATGAGTAACGTGGCAAGTATTAAGTGTGAACCCTGGAGCTAGAGGACACGTGCCGCACAGTGTGGAAAGCGGTGCCCAAGTGTCTGAGCATATTTTTGCCAGTCACAAGGGCGTGCCTAACTCCTGGTGCTGCTGCGTCTGCACCAGGCTGTAGACACGCCACTTGCGTTCATTGAATAAGTTTCTAACCTCTTCTAATTCTTAAATGGGAATTTTTTTTTGTGGTAACACAACTAGTTGAGCTTACTTGGAATTAGTTACAAGGTGCTCTGTGGTTCTCAGAGTCACACAGGAAGTTTCGTGTATTAGCTGGTCATGGGCACCTCAGGGTTTACCTGAAGGTCTGTACACAGCAGCAGTCTATCACTGGTGTCCTCAATAGATGCCCTGATGGCACAGGTTTTATGAACGCAGCAAATAAATCCAGTAGAAGATATAGTCATAGCATCCTTCAACCGCTGACAGCCCCAGATGGATAACATCCTTTTCACCCTTCCTCACTATTCCAACCTTTTCCTTTTAGTCTACTACAGTCTGGATCCTTCTCTAGTTCATTCCTAATACTTACCCACCTCTAAAAGTAGAATCCCGTCCTCTTCCAGTACACATCAGGTTCTGCCTCATCACCTTACTCAACCCCAGCATCTCACTGCAGGAGCCTATAAGCTTACAGGAACTAAAACTGTAAACTGCATTTTACTGCTATCTCCATACTGCTTGCCAATATATAGTTAATATACAGAATACTAAGAAAGGAGGAGTTTGAACACAACCTTACTAAACAATTTAAACCAGTATAATTTCCCGAATGCCTTTTTATTCAGAGAGTTCTGCATAGGCTCGAGTTTTTGTCACGCAAATCCATGTTGGACATGCTGCAAAATGCAATGTTTTGTTCCATGCTTAGGAAACAGTAAAAAAAACCCAGGAGTTTGAGATGTACAACTCAAGGTTGAGTTGCACTGGTGAGAAGACAGGTTTTTGAGCTGCTCTCCTCCATAATAACCTAGCCTCCAGTGTTCAGTATTTTTTGTGTTTCTGTAGACCTTCAATGCTGTTTGACAGGATGCTGCCTGCCTTATTTAAGTTGTAAATATATAGAGAAATACACAATACAGTCTTCCTCCAATACTTTCTTATTAGTTACTACTGTGATTCTCCAGAAGTTAAGCTGAAGCTACAGTAAAAAGCTACTGGTAAAGACATACACATTTTCTAGCAAAGATCAGAATAATCTCTGAGCTTCCCAGCTAGAGAATTTATGGAGAGTTATCACAGAACTATTAAAAGGAATGTGGAATGTGTCTGACAAAGTAGACTTACTGCTTTATGTACACAAAACAGTTAGAGGATTTCTAGTTATGATTTATAGTAAATCCACATACTGGGTTTTCTAATCTCCAGCTTTATGTAATGGAGATGCAATGAGTAACAAAATGTAAGAGGATTAGTAGAAGGTCATCCTGATTTGCTGAATACAGCCTACCACAATACCTTAAAAATCGTTCAATACAGTCTCTCATCACTGTAGAAAATAATGAAATCCAAGGTGAACTCACTCCTAAACTGCAAGCCACATGAGATTAAATTTTAGATCAACAGTATTAGAATAGATTTAAATATAAAACTTGACAGTGGGACATGTAAACCACCATAATAGGAGCACATGTTAAAAACCGAGTGGGGAAAGAAAATTAACAAGGCTTCATCCTGTAACTAGGTTGAGCCTAATTTTGACTAGCTTTTTTTTCAAGTAGGGAAGAAATGGGACCTCTACTAGATGTCCATACAACAGCACACAGTATGGATAAGGGACACGGGAGAGGCCAGAAAGGGCCTGTTTCTTGTCATTTCAGCTGCCTTGTTTATACCTGTTTGCAGCCCTAAATATTCTACCATCTATACAGGGCAATGTGAGCAGCCGGGGGGGCTGGGCAGAGGGCAGACTTGCTGAAAGAGGTTAAGGGAAAAATAAGGTCCAGCGTACCAGGGGAGGGGGCAAATAAAGACCAAGAAGCTGCTTTCATGTGGTTCCAGTCCAAACGTTTACCAGCTTGTGCAGATTGCCTGGTGCAAAGACCTAAGCAGAAGAGAGTACCGTTTTTCAGAACACCTTTTAAGTAACAGCATACAGTACAAATTACATTGAAATTGTGTTATGTTTCAACTGCTTTCTGTAATACAATGCTGATAGGTTTTTTTGAGTTTTTTGTTTACTTTTTTTAGGACTACTAACATTTTTTTACTGACTACTGATTTAAAGTCAGTAATCCAGACATGATTTACAAAATTTTCAATTGCCTTTGCCTTAGTGTTTTATTTTGAGATGTTTATTTGCCCTAATTGGTAACCCTTTAAAAACCTATTTTCCGACGAAATACAGCTTTCAGGTTTGATATATTAGCTGGAAGAACATACTGTATCAACTTTCGTTTATGTATGCAATTATGTTTGGATTTTTTTTGTTAGTTGTTGTAACATTCATGTAGAATAACTGATTTGCTATTTGTATAGAAAGTAAAATCCAATTATATGCAAAAGAAAAATTTTGAAATTATTTTTTTAAACCACAGTAATATGTTAGATATGTTTAGACAGGAACCCTTTTTTATAATATGATTTTTTTATTTAAAGCTGATTAGGCAGAGGAAATATTTACTCATGTTGAGAGAACTGAGCAGCCTGTTGCTTGTCACTATGCCCTTGAAGATTTTTAGAACAGCAGGTTTCAGGCTAGACATCTGACTTGTATTTGCATATTGGAAATGAAAAAAACCCTATCGAACCCAACCCCCCAAGCAATCATCAAATGGCAGTAAAAGGAAACTTAAATGAAGGTAATCTCTATGCTTGCAAACACTGTTGCTGCCAAGTGCTAGTTTAGCATTTAAAACCAGGTTCAGTTTTCCATATAGGAAGTGTATAGTTTAATCACCAGTTATCAGATACTGTTTAAAACTTCTATAGCAAGCATTATTTAAAAAAACAAATAAATAAGGCTGTGGCCATTTGACCCTTATGTCACTGATTATACTTCTCTAAACTATTAGCAAGTGGCCATGCTTTAAGTGTGGCTCTTGGAGCTTTTCCTGAGATTTGATGTCTTTTATCAGCATAACCAACTCAGTAATTTCACTGTGTTAAACAATGGAATTACTTTGTAAAAGCAGCTAATAATTATGATGGGGGGGGGGGGGGGGGAACCCCCTAGCATTTTGTGTGCATTCATTTGCATTTCTAAACAAGTATAAACAAACTGCCAAGATGCTCATAAATGCTAAACACTTCTGCTTATACTGTGAAAAGTTTTAACTACAATATTGAGTTGAATTTTATTTATTTCTATGGGTTTTTTTGTGGGGTGGAGGGAAGAAGGATGAGAAAAAGTTGGTTCTAACATGACACTTGAAACACTGGATTTCTTTCACACTCGAACAGAAGTAGAAAATGCTACTTTTTTGTTGCATTCTGTTTCAAAAAGCCTTGCTCTTCTCCCCTCAGCAAGTCCTTAACAGAATCAGTCCCTTCCTTTCTAAATTAAGTTGACTGATAAACAGTGTTTCTAAAAAGAGAGCTGGCCATTTAACTGAAAGCCTGACTACATCACCAGTTTATCTCATTTTTTTCCTAATATGCTATGTTTTAAAAGGCATTTCTTACTCCATTTTCTTACTATTGACTGGAGGTAACAACAGCAAAGCTCCATTTACACAAGGAACAGAGACTGACATTGATATTTAACAGATGGCCTACGCTTAAGTCTTTACAGTACTGCTAATGCAGTAAATAATTACTAGGGATGAATAAAAAAAAACCCAGAACACACCTACAACTGTTAAGGTTATTGTAGAAAAAGGATACCAGTAAGGTTCCCATCATTAATACCAAGCACCTTTTATACACTGGTTAAGGCCAGGCCTTCTGTTCTTCCAGTCTTATTAATGTGACATGTTTTTTAAGTTGTGTTGCATATATGCCTCAAACAGTCTGACATTTAGGATCTCATGCCTCTTTCTTTTCACTTGGTTGGACAAGTTTTGTAAATTAACACTGTCCAAGTATTTGAAGTAGAGACCTTTATAGCCTGGCCTTTAACACAAGAATGTCCTTGTTCTGTTGATGTTTAACAAGTGCATTTCTCAAGAAGGTAGCCAGAGGGGTAAGGAGAAAGCAAAGAGCTACTGTCAGCAGAGGTGATGAATGACGAGAGTGTATCTACAGAATGTCTGTGAAGAGATTAAGACAGCACCAAAATGCATGTGATACATTTTCAAAAAACTAGCCTGCCCTTCAAAACTGGGAAAAATCTTAAGAAACAAGACTCCAAGCTACGTGTATGCAACTGAGCTATATATTATTATGACTTTCACTGAAACATACCACCAAGACAGTCATGAAACTCTTCACATTAATTCCTTGTATATAAGGGGTCAATGTGTCAGTTAATCCTCAAGCTCTGTTTTATGACAAAAACAAAGTCTATGGGGAAATTAGACCAAAGTACTTGAACTGTATAACTACAAATTTACAGCTGATATAATTAGTTTTAAATAAGTCATTGCTTTGGACACAAAACTAGGACTCCATTTTGATGATACATATTTACTTCTGTGAAGAGGAGTGTGTTCTAAACAAAACAACCCTCCCACACCCACTCTGTAGTTTAATGTAGATTATACCCCACTATTAAAATATTATATCCACTTACCATCATCTAGTGTGATGTCTTGTAGTCCTATTGTTTGAAAATTCAATTCTCGATCTTCAGGTTCGGGTTTAATGTTAATAGCTGCCCCATCTGGTGAAAATGGAGATGAATCGCATACGGGATGGTGCGCTAGGGATGATGCTGCATTAAGCCCTCCCAGTGCTGGGCTGTGTGCTTGAGGGGAGTGCTGTCCCGAGTGACTTACGGTGGTTGGCGGGGGAGATGAGGCAGGTCCTGAGCTGGGAGACTGGTAAGGCAGAGGCTGGAGCTGGGGTGAAGAAGGTCCAGACAATGGTGAATGGACCAGAGGGTGGGAAGCTGTTGGGGATGGGGACGAAGCAGATGCTGGATTTGTAGGATGGTATGGGACTTGCTGCAGCTGGGGAGAAGACTGCCCAAGGGACCGACTCATTGCAGGAGGGATGGAGCCCTGCCCAGCGCTTGGGCAGTGGTAACCCAGCGACGGGAGATGAGAGGACGACTGTCCCGAATGAGCTGGGTGTGCTAGCGGGTGCCCTGCTGTACTTGATGTTGACACAGAACCTGGATTTGAAGCATGAAACTGCATTGGTGGTAGAGCTTGGCAGCTGAGATTTATCAAATGAGGTACAGCTGTGTCTTGCTGAAAGGAAATAGTATCAAATCCTTGGCTGGAGGCAGAGTTCATCGGAAGACCAGACTGTCCATTGTATACATCGTTAGACTGCATAGGCTGGTAAGGCGGCCTCACCGGAGGTGCTGATGTTACCTGAAAAGACTGAACCACAGCAGGAGGCAAAACATGACACTCTTCACTTGGACTAAGGTTTCTACCTTGCATATGTGGCAGGTGGGATACTGCTGGGGTCACCATCGCTGGGTATGGTGGCTGAACTGGACACACAAGGCTCCTGGGTGATGTAGACAGTAAATTGTCATGGGGATGCCCTTGCTCTGGTGAAGGCAATTGAGTTCGGATGGAATGCAGGCCCTGGACATTGCTGGGGTGTGGCAGGGCCAGGGATGGAACAGTAGACAACTCCACCTCATCTCTGTGCTCTTGCTTCATTAGAACTAGAAGAAGTAAAAACACTGTATTAAAATTCCAACAATTGTTCTTATAGTACAGGGAGTTACAAACTGCCACACTTTTAATTACAGGATTTTTAACCTACTGAAAGGCACATGAGGAGATACTGATTTTAAGTACAACTAATAGAAAAATGGTAACACTTTTAACTGCTCAATTATTCCTGTATACAATACACTATTAAAAAAACCTGCTTATATATATTTATAGATAAAATGGATTTTAAAATGCTTGTGCAATAGCAGCTGCAGTTATAATTAAACTTGCTTCTTAACCGGTATCATTACTTCATTCCACCATTTAAATAATTTAAATATGGATTTCTCAAAAATATAGCTTAAGATGTGGCTTGTAACTGTCCTAGGAGCTTATTTTCTTAGGAATGGTGGAAAACACAATTAATGCATACTTAGTATAGCAAATACCTAGGTACCATTGCTTGAATTGCACATGAATGTATGAAGTAGGTTATTTTAGAGCACAAGGGAACAAAAGTGATTTTAAATAGCGTAAACTAAAGGCAGTTGGCTTTGTCAGCATACACAAGTTTATATTGATATCCATATCTGACTTCAAAGACTCCTTCGGATACCTGACTTCAAGTCCTCCAAACAGTACTAACGTGTCTGGAGCCATCACTGGTACCTTGTGAATGGTGACTGCCCATAATGGGTGTGAATTTCTGACAAGAAAGTGGCAGACAAAGAAGTAGGCATTGCGTATCTAGTAGTAACCACTTCCTCACACCAAAGGGAAGGGATTAAGATGTTTTAACTACATGTACAGTTAACATGTACAGTTTTTGCTTCTGGCTAAGTTAGAAACTATTTTCTTTCAACATGCTGCAGTGTGTCTAGAGGAGGGAAAAATTCTTTATCTTCCTTGTATCTAAACCTGAGGGATTTTTTTTGATGTTTAGGAGGGGAAATGTGTAAGACCCATTCTTTTATGAACTCACTATCCTCCATGTCATCACTAGGGTTATTTAGAAGAGCAGCTTCCAAGGTTCACCATCGTTCTCAAAGAAAAGTAGAACGCAAATCATTCTGTAAAAAGTATAATGAAGAAACACCTGTCTATAATTCTAGCACTGTAGCTTATTAATCCGAATTTCAGTTTTTTAGTTAGACAAGCTTAAGTTGTTTTACAAACAGTTCACAGCTAGTCTTGCTATCTACCTGTCAAAAGGTACAAGACTGAATTACTTTCTTCAAATGTGTACTTTGACAAACAAAATAAAATGCAACTTTGTAAATACCTGGTGTGTAAGTGAAACGTTGAGACTGGCTTTTTTTCCTCTTGCCATTGCAGAGATAAAACTGCACCTGAACTGCAGCTGTAATGGTTTTGTTATGGTATGGAGGAACTTCAAGTATGATGTTTGCCTATATGAAAGTTGAAACAAAGTTTCTCCATTATCGAATGCAAATGGAACTGCTCTTAATTACAGACAAACTAAAACACTTATTGCAAAAGTAAAACAAACTGATATTTTGAAATTGGTAAACTTCAAGTTTATACATATTACATAGTGAAACAGTACTATAAGCAAACTTCGATTTGGAGACTTTTTTCTTCTTTTAAATACAAGTGTTCTGAAGGTAATGCTTTTAATAAGTAGACACATCATCTAAAGAACGCCTTGTTTATCTGCCAGAGCATAAAAAACTCTAGCAGTTTGGATCACTAAGCTTTTGAAAAAAATTTTAATGCACTGGAAATTATTTGTCATCTTAGCAAAATTATCTTCAGTTTTCTTTTTTCAATTTTCAACTTATTTTTTCATTGCTTTCACAAGCACATTATTTCCAGTTCCTTCAAAGCATCATCTTAATGGCTATTTTATAGTATTAAGCCAATTTAGAAGTCTCCAGTTGTCTGAATCATCCACTGATCTACTTTCTTTACTAAATGAAGTCTAAAATTTCAGAACAATGGAGATGTCTCGTTTCTCATTTTAAAACAGAAAGCTTTCTAAAGTAAGAAAAATTGTTTCTCACCCCTTGACATTTTTCCCTAATTATTTTCCCTTCTACCTCCCACTGAGGTCGTCCATCTGTTGAAAGAAATTTACAAATAATTCAAGCAGAAAGCATTTTCTAAGCCACTTAAATACTTAATCTTAAAACTACTTACATACTTAATATAAAACTGCATTTATTTTCAGTCATAAAGAGGCCATTCAGCTGACAGAGATAAATTGTAAACAAAGTGTACAATATAGAAATGCTTCAGGACTTTCAACACTACAGATGTTGTCTGCAAGTTGACTGCTGTGCAGAAATCTGCATTTTAACAGAACCTGCTGATTACATACAGTTAGATTTAATTCCAAAGGAGGCAGTGTGTATTGCAAGTGTACAGAGGGACTTCCTTCCCCATTTTTCTAAATACATTTTGGAAGGGTAGTTAAATTACTACTAACACTTGTGATTATTCAAACATGCTGATGACAACCTAGAAGGCACCATGTGAGAGATACCGTATGCCATACCTCCAAGCACATACCCACAGGTTATACCTTTAAAACAAACAGCCTCCCCTGAACCAAAAGACCCCATAGTTCCAATAGCAGGCAAGTTGTCTGTGGCATGTGAGGGAAGTAAATCACCTGGGTGAACCCTTCCCTGCTCTGCCCCAGCATAACCCACTATCCTTCATATAACGCTCAGTTTGCTCTGTTACTGGGTTTTGTACAGGTTATCAGGGAAACCTACTGTCTAGCAGCAGTACTTCTTAAAGGCATTCAAGTTGTGTATCAAAACACATTATTACAAAAAGCTTCCCATTTATGTTGTATTTGCTAATAAAAAAAAAAAATCCCACTTTTTTACTTAGTTGTATAAGGAAATAATATGTTGTAGAAGAACTGGACTTGGTTTCAAACTTTTATTTTTATTGATTTAGTTTTGCTACTGTTTTCCCAAAGTTCAAATCAAGTATTCAGGTTGCAGCAATGATAAGTTAAAATTTTATGCTCTCTATATTAAAGGGACAATCCAGGAAGAAAAGGAACACTATGTGTTAAGACAGCTTGTCCTAAATTTTCAACTATTTTTCATGCATTCCTGGTTATGTAATAAATATTAAGATAGAAACTTATATCCGGAAGAGCTACAGAATGTTACAGGATCACAAAGGAATTAACTGAACATCTCTGAGTGACATGCATGTATGTACCTGAGTTGTGTGTGTGTATGCACACCTGTGTATAATACAAAGCAAAACCAAAGAAAACTTGCTAAGCATTCATTATATCTGGTTGTAGTAAACTAAATAGGAAAACTATCTGATAAGGGTTTTTTTTTTGGTATTAAATTCTTTAGTTTGTGGAGTTGCATCTTTATGAAAGTGATAGCAGAGAAGATGAACATGAGTTTAGGAAAAAAAAATTTTTTAAACCTGTACTTACATATAAAGAAAGATATTTTAGAAATAGTCACCCAAAATCTGCAGGTTTCTTGCTTACTTTGAGATGCTAATTCCTATACATTAGACTGAAAAATTGAATCTACCACCCTCCCAAAGAATAATTTATTTCATTTCATGAGATCAGTATAAAGCAGTTAAAATTTTTCCACAGATTTCACTGCATGAAAGAAACACTGTGGCTTTAATACACCCAAACTGAAACGCATGTCTGCAATATAATTTTTAAATCTGCTAATATACAAGCGCAAGCCCGCTGTAGTTCTCACCCATGCCTAAGTGTTGCCTAGAAGGCTAAACTTCGATTCTAGAGAATGAGAATTATGTAATACAACTGACTACGCCATTTGTGATTTCTTGGCAGTTAAATACTTGACCAGCTTGTTAAGTACAGAAATGGTTAATACACATACAAAAAGGTTGGTCACAGCACTGCATATTGCCTCTATTTTACCTCCCTGCACACCTGCCTGTTTATAGATGCACGAGGCAGGCACAGCTGAAGCAGACACTGCACACCAGATCTGAGCCAGATCTTGAGACTTGTTAAAAAATGCATCCCTTAAGAGTAACCTGTATAGAAAATCTTATACAAATATATAGGGAAAAAAATCAGTAGTGTTTTCTAACTAATATTTATTTAATTAGGAGTAAGTCAGTTCCTATACAATGATTAAATCAGATGTAACACAATGATATCAATTCCAAATAGTACATTCCTATTAATTCCCATTGTCATGTTGTCTTTGTTTTTTGCAGTAAGAAAGAGAAAATACATGGTATCGGCTGTCAACAGCATCTTTCAAATACACACAATTCAAAGTTAGTTAGCCTGTAATTGTCTTCCTGGATCAGAAGTACTATTTCAATAATAATTGCCAACCAGCATATAGAACATGTCCAAACTGCAGTTGCAGATTACTACTCGTGATTTAACTTTTTTCATTAGTTAAAAAACATCCTTAATTCCTAAATTCAAGATCAAGTAGTGTTCTTTGTTTTGTTTTCAAGAAAAAAAAAATATAGTATTTACCTTGTCCTTTTTCAAAAAATATGATTTTGGATTCTGGAAGAAAATTGGATCCTGTCACCACCATTTCATGGCCTCCATTTACTGAGCAGCTATTGATGCTGTATTTCTCAATCTGAGGAAGTTCTTGAGCAGATCGCTGAGCTGTAAAATAAATTAAGGGAAAAATTACTATTCACAATTTTAATCATAATGACATTTCTTTTATGATCCTAACTTGAAGAATCAGGGGTGAAACTGAAATGACCGTCTATTCACATATATAAATTATATTTGTATATGATTTATCTTTGTTTCTAAAATTCTGTTGAAATTATAATTACAGAAAAGAAACGCCAAAAAGCCATGAATCTCAACAGTCTCTACTGTTACAACAAATGAAATTTTTAGTTTAGGAATATGAGTTTAATAATTACTTTAGTATTTTATAGACAAAATGAATTGTAGGAGAAATTCAGATTAAGGTCATGTACAATTCCTTCGTGCCAGCATTTAACAAATTAACTCTCGAGAAGTTCAGCTGTTCATTAGATAATACCGTATAAAGACAAGTAATGCTATAGACCCTTGTAAATGACATGGTATTACTTCTTCCTGAAACGAATATTTATTTTCACTGAGATATACCAGCTGCCTCTTCACATATACAGGAACTACTGAAGCTGTTAGCTGTGTGACTGCAGCATGAGGTTTAAAGCCTTAACCATTGTTTCTTCCTACAAACCTTCAGGTTGCCACTTGGCAAGTACCATCTTAAATAAAAACATAATAGTTTTTGGTAATCTACCTCTCTACATACAATGCTTTTGACACACACTTGTCTTACTTACATATTTATATATATAGTTCTGACAATAAATACTGTCAGAATGACAATACTACTGACAAATATAGAAAAGATGAGTATAAATTACGTATAGTTAAAGCAATCTTACAGCATTCAACAGGTATGGAAGCAGTCTGCAGAGATAAGACTTTTCCACTAGGCTGTGGGATGTGAACACGAAACACAAGCCGTACTCTGGTATTCTTCCTTCCAATATCTGTCTCTCCTTTACGGAGCTCTATATCTGAATTGCGAAGTTTCAAAATACCAGCACAATCGATACTGGAGAGAGGTGAGGACGGGTGGATCAGAAGAGAAACGGAAGAAAATTAATCCAACTATTGCCAAAGTAGATCCTGTAAGCTTTTATTTTGTTAAAGAAGAGTGTTTTATTCCTCCCCCACCCCCGTTATGCGATTTTAAATGTCTAAGATTAAAAGTTCTGTTAGTGTCAAAAATGGCAGCAGGTATGCTGTTGAAACTTTTTGTCTTGTAAATGTCTAGCTGCTGCTTTTTTGAACCTTTAAAAGATCATGTGTTTGGCACACTGTTTAACCATCAAAGTTATTTAACATAATAAACATCATTTACAAGGAACGAGACCTATATTTAGTTCTGCCTTGGGAAGGACTAGAGAATGACAGAGGCATAGCCATCAAATCTCAGCTACCCTTCCCCATACCTCATCTGAGACACACGTACTTTAATCAAGTAACATATATATGTAAGCTTGTGAGCAGTGTTGCACATCATTGTGGGTTCAATGGAACTGGCATGAAGTCTGCAACTAGGAAAACTTAAGCTACCTTCAGAAGTCTACATAAGAAATAAATGCGCTACATGAACAAATAATTGTGCTTTACTCTGTTCACTGACCCTCCAGCTGAACGGAGCAGTTTAATCATTGCTGTAACTAACCACTGAACTATTATTTAGCCCATTCTATCTAGCAAGACCTGAAAAGTCGGAATAACACAGCTGCTAAAAATAAAATTAGAAAAAAAAAAAAAATTCCAAATAAGGAAAAGGTCTCCAAGTCTGCCAGAAATTAAATCACCACATTCAATCAAGAAACAAACAACTAAACTGTAAGATGGTATTTCCATAGGGAAAAAAAAGTCTGTCCTTGTAAAATCAAACCAAAATTCTAACAGCCAGTGACCCACATGCAGTTCTACAACTGTGGAGCCATATGTATGTATGGATTGTATGGGGAAGCAGAATCCCAGAACCATTCCTCTATCTCCCTGCCAATCTTACAAGATTCCCCGTCCCTCTACTTTTTCACTTCTGACCACCTAAACATTGGCATATTTAGAGATGTGTCTGTCTTAATGATGAGCCATGTTTGTGGAAAATATGCTATTTTATAAGGTTTTTCTTTCATCTTCACCCAAATGGAAAAAAAAAGAAAAAAAAACACCAAAAAAACCCAAAACAAACAAAAAGACCAACCAACCAACCACCACCACAAACCCCAGAGGCATAGCAACTGAACAGCTAATTTATGCTGCGATTTACCTGGCTGACATATTATTTTCAGGAAGAAGTGGTATTTCCAAAACTTTTGTGCTGGCAATTATTATCTCTTGACTAGCTGTCGCGACTGTTTTTCCAGTGATTCGGTGCACCTGGTAGAACGCATGAGGCCTTAAGTAGCGATCATCTGCTGTTCCAATGAACATTTGGAGGTTCACTGGCTTCTCGCTGTAACCCTGAAGCTGATGAAAAAGCAGATGTAATATTTAAAGTATTAGTTGACTTTTACTGAATTTGTGTGTGCGTAATATAAATACAAAACTAGTACAGACTTAAGAGTCAAGGAGTAGAATTTAATTACAAGCTACTTCAATCTCTTCAGCCATCAGAAAACTGAGTACAGATATCCATCCCCCCAATACAAGTATCAGCAGCAACAATTACCAGAACAAATGGATACTGACATATCTTTATTACCTCTGAATTTCTCAAGGAGGAAAGAATACTTTTATCTACAGATTTTCTACATCAAAGCTATGCTGCGTTATAGGTGCATCTCTGATACTGTTTTTAATCAAAGTCAAATTATCAATTTTACTAAGATATACCTAGTTTCTAGGAATACTAAAAAAGTTAAAGTTTTTTTTTCCTCTACTATGGAATGCAATAGTGAGTTTTATTAAACCTAAGAGGTTTTGTGAATGCAAATGTATTATGTTATTACAAAGAAAATTTAATTCACAGCTAGAAAATCAACTGTGGTTTATTTTTGGCAAAGAAAATGTTGTAAACCCCTGAATTTTATAAATGTTAATTCATGCATTTTTTTTTTTAAACTGTAAGACTTCGCACCCATGCACTCCGTTGTCATAAAACCACCTGTTGCTTGAGCTAACAGGAGTATTTCTAGGCACAAAACATGTTGAAACATCAGAAAGAAACCCCACCTAACTCTAAAAGAAAAGGCTAGTTTTATGATAGCACATCAGTAACATATCATCATCCAGAAGATTAAAGGAAACAAATGTAACCAACAGTAACATGTAAATTTGCTTTAGCCACTGCAATTTGAAATCCAAAGCCCATAAAATATGTCTAACATATCCATGAAGTTTTACTTCACCTTCCTGCAATTGGCAGATTGATGTAGACTGCAAGTTACATAATTTCTAAAAAGCAATGCAACAAATTTGCAGTTCATCGACTTCAACTTAGGTTCAAAATGGAGGGAGGGCCAGACAGTCATTCTTTAAATGTGGTTTTGTCATGTCAATATTTTTGTCTCTAGGGAGAGTTATTTGGTCACACAACAATAGTATCAAAGGTCCTCACCGAACTAACACTTAAAAAACAAACCCACATCAATTTAACCTACTCACAAGAGTAATTTAATGCCAGTAGTCAGCAGTATGAAAAACCAAAGCACACCCGCAAGTCAGATGCACCACTGCAGATCCCTTGTATCTTGATGCACTCCTACTGGCCCTAAGTTTTATGTACACCAAATGAATGCCTGTTTTCTACATTCAAGTTACAGCTAAGACAGCACCTACCAGTCCTGTCGCTTTTATTAGAGCTTTCTCAATCAAGAACAGAAATTTGATTTCCAACAGCAGTCTGGAACTTTAAAGAGCCATTCTCAAAGCTTTCAGCCTTACATGAATGCTTTTGCTGAAGATGTAATACTCATTAATTAATCCATCTAGACACAACAGTGTGGCCATATTTTAGTTAATGTTCTTCCCACTTGCCCAATGAGCTTAAATGTGATCAAGAAGCAGAACAGCCAAACAGTAGACCACATAAGACAAAATTGAGCTTACTCAAAACCAGAACAACTGAGGATTGTCCTTCACCTCTTTGTATCCAGCACACACACACACACAATCTAAAATAATTACTTGAAGAGACACTGCAGACAAGCTACAGCACGTAACTTACTGACCAACAACATAAATATCTTGAGCAGCTGACACAAAAGGCTGATAGATCTCATGTATTATTTGTTACAATCACAGCGTTATGACACTGCTCTCAGGCAAAATGCCCATTCCACTTTAAGTGAATGCAGAGAAAAAAAGGAAACAGTTCAGAAGTACTGCTTCCATAGCTCTTCTGGGCTGGGAGATCTCTAGATGATTACTGCAGCAAGGACACTGTGCTGTTTTTCATGGTTGTGAAGAACTCATAATTCCGTTGTCCTCAAATCTCCTCGGGAGGTGTACACCATCTCCCCACCATCATGCCTTTAAGAGGCCAGTCCAGTTCAACTTATGTTGACTACATTTGTATTACACTGTACGCAGACAACAGATGGGGTTGTGCTAAAGCAGACTGGTTTCTGTCCTTCAACACAATGAATTCTCACCTGTCTTCCCCGATTCAAGCATGCATGGGCAAGCAGAACAAACTGACCTAATAACATTAAATCAAAAAGTCACATCTTCTCATGGGTTTAACAATCCTTACCCCTTCAGACCCTTATTATAATGAAGGAAAAATATCTGCCACAGAAAGCCAAGAAGTCTTTAGAAGTCATGGCAGCTTTTGCCCCATACAACGTCCTGTCCTATAACTGAGGTATTTCCAACTATTTCCTTACCTCATCTCATTTATTTGTGTTTTATATGTATGTCGCATTTGCAGGCTCTTGTTCTATCAACTATGTAAAATCTTTTAGTTGTCAGTGGAGTTCTCCGTACAAACCAACCAAATCCAGAAAAAAAAACAAACCAAACCAACAAAACAAACTAAACAGAAAACAACAAACCTTGATGCAGGATTCCAACATCTTTTCAAATGATTTCTTTGTATTTTCATAATTTCTATGAGTCTGATTTATTTTAGGAGTTTAAAGAAAATTTAAGGACACTTATTAGTTTAGCAGTTACGGTAGACATCTTGTCCCAAGTTCTTAAGCCTGTGACTCCACCACCCATTTTTCTCAGAGTTAAAATTAAATCTTAAAACAATAGAGCACAGCCGAAATGTGACGTCTGTTAAATGTGTTTGCTCTAATACTGGGAATTATATAAATTACAAGTCAGACCTATTCAAAAATTTGATTAACTTCCAAATAGGGTCACTGTGACAAAGCTAATTTCCAGTTAAAGCTATCTTCCCCTTCCTTAACAATGGCCATGTACACAAGAGTTCTAGAGACAGTAGTGATACGAGAGAAAGGGCTGCAGGGAGCGATACTTGCAAAACTAAGCTGTGCAGTCAGTGGAGAAATTGTCCTCCAAAGAACATGAGCTTAATTTAGTGAAGCAGAATATACCTCATGCCAGCAGCTGCTGTGAAACTCTATGGCCATATACTACACTTGAATTGCTCAAAGCCTGGTCTAACACTAGTTTTGCTTCTGTTATTCTTGAGCAAAGGTTCACCTTCCGTGCTTGCCCAGATATGCTATGGAAGGCATCTAAGTCCTCGTTTCTGCAAAGCATGTTGTGGGAGGGGAAGGTGGTGGAAAAGTCTGACAAAAAATGCCCACCCAACCAACAGATTAGTTATATATCAATAGGTTATCAGGCGCATTTTCTGTATGATGCTCTTGTGGTAAAAGCTTGTGTGCTGGTTGACCCTCTCACATCACTGCAGTACATTAGCTATATCGAAGTAGAAATTTGAAACTATGTTACTATAGTTTCAGAAGAAATAATTAAAACTCCACAACAAGACCCCACACAGTAGTACCACCTCTAGTCACTTCCCTCCTGCTTTATATAGTAAATTGAAACAAACAAGAAATTCAGTGCCGCAAAGAAACTACAAGAAAAAAAAAATACAATCCAATGGAATAAACTTTTCTAGCAATTTAGAAGAAACCTATATATGCTATAATACAGAAACATATAAGGCATCTCAATTAAAAATGGTCTGTAATAACATCAGGACAAACCTCTGATAAGATTTCATACATACTTAAAAGCCATGCTAGTGTAAACCAGTCTCAAAACAAACAAACAGGCTAACAAGGTCCTCCCAAACTATGCCAAACAGATGCTTACACTATAGCTTTGTCTCGAATTGCTTTAAAGGATCTGCAATGAAGGCCTGTTAAAGTACTTGAATGTATTTTATATATATATACACAAGGTTAGGCAGAGTAGTAGGACTGGCAAAGTAGCAGAGACTTCATAAATTTGTACTTTGCATTACAGATTTATTGCATTTATTCAATGTTTAAAATAAAAAGAGAACAACATAAAAGCAATGTAAAGCCATAGATACAACCAGTGTGTGCAAATAAATGTGGCAAATAAGTAAGCTGGGGGTGGGGAAGAAAAGAATAACCCCATCTCTCACATTACAGAGTGTAATTCAGGTCCTGATCACAGTGACAGGCATGCATAAAAAGGAAATATATCAGTCTTAAGCAAGCAATGAGCAGGTTGCTGTGTCCTCCTGTTTCCAACAGCCATATTTACAGCAAAAAGACCGTAAGCTTAATAGGCTACAGATGCTAAAGAGACAGCCTTATGTGCTAGCTAAAAGTGAGGCAGCTGGGCACTGTCAAGAAGATAATGTTGATAAACCCAAACAACTAACAAAACCTCCCCAACCTTTATCATACCAGTTTGTGCTTTAGAAACAACAATTTCCCCTTAAACCTTGTCTAAGTGAGCTGACAACTCCAGGCATGACATGGATTCTGCAAGAGTAAAATTGAAAGTTTGCTGCATGTCTGTAACTAAAGAGAAGAGTCTGCAGGGGCCAGTGAGCCAAGGGGTAGGTAGGAAGCGATCCGATAGCTTGTGGAGAAGATGCCTGCACGTCCCCTGTAATTTTTGTTACATAATCATTCAAAGCCTTCAGTGAAGCCAACATGCTGTGCCTAGCTAGCACCGCATAATTAAAGACAGCCCATGTCATACCACTCCCAGGAAGAAAGGGCAATGCTGGATTACTTTGTTAATTCACCTGAAAGTATTCCTACCTTATTTACCCACAGGTGCATTCAGCAGTTTGCTGAAGAGTATCAAAGTATTCTGAAGTTCATTATATGAATAATCCCCTGGATGCCTCTCACTACACAAAACTTTTACATAGTAAGCAAAGCAGAACTTTCTGTCCACCACACTTGGTCCCCACTGGAGACTGAACTATCACAGAATCTGAACTACCTTCCATCTCCTAGGAATGGTGTCATCTCTCCCCGAAAAGAAAGATGCTATTTGGAGCCTAAATTGCCATTACTGATGCAATACCCATCTTGTGAATAATGAAGGAGACCTAC